CATTTTACCGTAATTCGTGTAGTGCAATAAAATGAGTGATACAGAGGTCGAACCATCGACAATCCAAAGTGTTGCAAACTTGGTGAAAATGCAACGGGACCGTCTCAAATATGTGGAGGGAGTCTTAACGAATTTTGAAAAGACTGGTGAAGTTCGACGGACAAAATCCTATTTCGCTTTGAAATTAACGCAGTGCCAAAACACATACACGGAGTTTTTCGCCACGCATAAACAAATTGTGTGCTCTAACCTTGGAGCTACGGATGAATATTTCACAGACGAATTGGCACTCGTGTTCGAGGAAAAATATGTGTTAGCTTACAGTGCGATTCAAGATGCGCGAGAGGAAAAATTTGCACCGTCTGAACCGATTCCAACGGGATCGCAGGACTCAGCGCAACACATTGTTCAACGAAATCATTCCAGTGTGCAATTGCCATCGGATTGAAATGCCTAAATTCTCGGGCAAACATACCGATTGGCCGAGTTTCAATGATTCATTTACTCGTTTAGTGCATCAAAACCTCGCATTGGATACAATTCAGAAATTAAATTATTTAAAACAAGCATTGCCACCGAATCACGATAGAGACATTCATGAGATGCCGTTAACCGAAGCTTCCAATCGCGCCGCATGGGATTTGCTCGTTAAACGGTACAACAGTCCACGAATTCTGTACATGCACCATTTGAACACACTCTACGCGTTGCCGGTGCTACAAAAGGAACGTGCAGTCGATATCAAGTCGGTGTTGAACGCAGCAAATGTGTGCATAACGGCATTTCGACGTCTGAATATTCCAATCGATGACTGTGACCATTGGATTGCCCATTTGATCGCGACCAAATTGCCGACTGAAACTCATCACGATTGGGAGCATCATTGGGGCAGCCACAGTGAAATTCCAACATTTTCTGACCTTGAAAAATTTCTAAATGACCGTTTATTCACTTTAGATGTGATTGAGAGCCGAGGTACCGTACACTCGGTGTCGATGATGAAACCCGTGCATGACTCACACAAAGTCTCGAATACACATGCGAATGACTCGAAACAAGTGAAACGAAACAAGAATTTTGAACGGAAATCGTTTCACACAACCACGGCTCGAAACTCAAACACCAATGGAAACAGTAATCCGACGGAAAATTGTCCAGTGTGTAACGGCACTCACGTTGTTCGCCGTTGTCCAACATTCATCGCAAAGGATTGCTTCGAAAGAAAGGCACTCGCTGATCGTCTAAAGCTTTGCCTTAATTGTTTGAGTCGCCAACACCTAATTGCACAATGCGGTAGCGCCAAGAACTGTCTTCAATGCGGCCTACGGCATCACACAATGCTGCATTTTCCCGTTACTTCATCGAATAGCGCTGCGAGTTCAACGAATAACGCCGCGAGTTTCACAAATACCGCCGTTCCAGGGAGACCAGCACCAAATCAGGCGAGTAACTCATTTTCAAATCCTGAAATGCGAACACTCGCAACAAATGTTTTTTCGACCATTCATGCTCCAAAATCTGTCTTGCTCGCGACAGCTCTCATCCCAGTGGAAAACGTGAAAACCGGTAAAGTCACCGTTTTACGTGCACTCATCGACGACTGTTCAGAAGGCACGATTATATCCGAGCATGCCGCCAACGTTTTGGGTCTTCGACGAACATCTGCCATCACCGAAGTCAACGGCGTCAGCCAAAACCATGCTGGAACTAGCAACGAAATAGTTCAGTTTGCATTGCGATCCAATGTACATCGAGATTATCGAGTTTTTGTCGACTTAGCCATCGTAATGAAAGTCGTCACATCTGATTTGCCAAGCCGACGGGTTACGCCCCAAGATTGGCCACACATTCATGGATTAGTGTTAGCTGATCCAACTTACTTCGAACCAGGGAAGATTGATCTGCTCATCGGCTCAGAATGGTCTGCATCGATCATGTTACCAGACACACGCATCGGTCAACCAAATCACCCAATCGCTCGAAATACATACTTTGGGTGGATTTTGCATGGCCAGACAGCATCAATTTCCAAACCAAATTCAGCTAACAATCAAAAGGTCACCATACGGACTCATCACACGTCCATAGATCTCAGCGCATTATTTCACGACTTCATCGAAGCTGAAAAAATATCGCAAGAGAAATCGCATACCGAAGAGGAAAAATGGTTTATGGATTTCTTCAAACAAACGCATCATCGTCAACCCAATGGAAAATACATGGTGCGTCTTCCATTCAAATCATACAATTT